TCTCCTCGACAATCGAGGGCAAGAAAAAAGAAGATTGGGTAAGTACTTTATTTCTTGTTTTTCATATTTATTCTTTATTTATTTATTATTTTAAAATTAACTAAAATTAAAAATACGGATCTTTTTAAATTATTTAAGACTAGATTAGGTAAAATAATAATAATTAAAATGGTTCATAAGGCACACATGCGAGTAGCTCATGGGCTATATAATTCGATAGCTTAACTTGAGCTGCACGTTCCCCCGAGTGATTTACAATTTATAATGGCATGAACAGTAGTTAGACACGGGTCAAAGGGCAATAAAACAATAAAATTTAATTATAAATAGATGTATAATGTTACAAACTTAGAGCTACTTAGGACAAACGAATGTAGTTTCATGTTACAATTTGAAGTCATTCTAGAAAGAAAAAAAGGTTAATTTAGGTTTATTTAAATTTTTCTTTTTTTGGTTACAAGGTCGGTCGAATTGACCCACCCCATTTTGAGATAAGGTACAGAAAATAAGAAATAAACTATAAGGATTTAGTGAAAAAAAAACGTTTGAAATGCATTTAGGGGGTTTTAAGAATTACACAAAGGAAATTTGAGATTTTTTAAGATGACAAAAAAGTATTTTTAATTTTCACATGAAAATTAATTTGCACACGGACTATTCAAAACAAATACTCAATATATTCATGGACAAATCTTTATTTTATTTAATTAAAAATACTTCACTAAGAAATATGAGTTTTTGTATGTGAAAGACTTGTAATATTAACTGAAAGACTGCCAAATTTTGTGAAGATATACCCAATATATTGAGAGTTATAAGTATTAATTTATAAGGACTTTACACAAGTACAAAAGGTCACATGACTCAGTCAAATTAACTGACCCCATGTTGTGATAGTTAACAGACATACTAAAAGACACTAAACATTTATCTCCTAGAAAATCAGGATTAAGTATTAAGGAATTCCAACAGCATGTAGATCGCTTATGAGCTACAGCTGAAGGACAAAGGTTAGATAAGTGGAAAGTATTTAATTCAGTGTTGGTAACCTTATGCTTAGTAGTGGTACTAGTAAGCATAATGTTATATATTAAACAAGACAAATTGGCTCCAGTAAAGTTATTAACATTAGATGGGCTGTGTAAGTTTAAAAGGAATAAAAGAGCAAGACCGAACAATAAAAGATTGTCTGAGTATTCAGAGACTACTGAAGTAGTCGAGTTAAATGATTAGGCCCCATCTAATCAGGACATAGCTTGATTGTGTAGATGAATACCAAATTAACATGACTTTATCAACTAATGAGGTTAGCATGATTGTAAAATCAGCAACAGTCAAAATTGTTAGGCAAAATTAATTAGTAAGAGACAAATGGCATAGAAGTACCAATCAAGATTGTCTGAGTATTCAGAGACTACTGAAGTAGTTGAGTTAAACAATTAGGCCCCATCTAATCAGGACATTGCTTGATTGTGTAGATGAATACCAAATTAACATGACTTTATCAACTAATGAGGTTAGCATGATTGTAAAATCAGCAATAGTCAAAATTGTTAGGCAAAATTAATTAGTAAGAGACAAATGACACAGAAGTACCAATCAAGAGGAATCCAGTAAAAGAAATGAAATGAGGAGATAATAAAACAAGCACCAAGACAGACAGAAACGACCTATCTACAACAGAGTAACAAGTGTGAAGTGTGCGAGTAAGTGCACGGGTTATGAGGTGTGTAAGTGAGTACACGTGCGTGTGATCGAATGAGAACAGAACGTGTTATAAAACAAACTGGTCTTCATGAGAAACAATTAGTAATTGTATGCTGTGACCACAGGAAGAGAGGAAAGAAGACTGCCATCATCAAAACAGAAGGGTTCAGAGTATGTGGACACTACTGGATCAAAGAATTAGCCATCAAGGATTGTTGTTCCGGATCGACTGATGTCCACTGTTTCCATCTGCCGTTTCCAGAAGATACTTTAAGTGATGCCCACCAGAGGCATGTGAACTGGTGTACAACATATCTGCACAGCATCTGCTGGACAGATGGGGAATACACCTTAGAACAGAACAGAACGTGTTATAAAACAAACTGGTCTTCATGAGAAACAATTAGTAATTGTATGCTGTGACCACAGGAAGAGAGGAAAGAAGACTGCCATCATCAAAACAGAAGGGTTCAGAGTATGTGGACACTACTGGATCAAAGAATTAGTCATCAAGGATTGTTGTTCCGGATGGACTGATGTCCACTGTTTCCATCTGCCGTTTCCAGAAGATACTTTAAGTGATGCCCACCAGAGGCATGTGAACTGGTGTACAACATATCTGCACAGCATCTGCTGGACAGATGGGGAATACACCTTAGCAACTCTGTTCGAAGTAAGACATGAATTTTATGAAGAATATGACAAACTTTATACAAAGGGAAAAGAAAAGGCATGAACACTAAATAGAAAGTTTGGTATTCCACGTGTGAATCTAGAAGGTTTTGGATGTCCAGCATATAGACATTTGGATTGTGCTAGTGCTGGAAGACTATATTGTGCTTATCACCAGTATCCTTGTGCATATTGGAAGGCTTGTGCTCTATATGAGTGGATTGTGAACAGTGATTGGAATACCTTTTGATACTTTTAAATGTGCCCATAATACTGAAAATGTGTATGTATTATAATCATATTTTGATAACTCTATGTGTATAATATATTATCCATATATAATTTTATGTGTATTTCATATATATATTTCATGTAAACGTATATAATCAGTAGAAGTAGAATCTAAATATATTGTTGTTGTAAACATTGATTGAAGTAGGGAGAGAGTTGGAAGTGAAATAGTTGGATGGTGAGAATTTTCTTACAAGAAATAAGAGAATTCTTAAAGGAGGAGTGAAGCAATTGAGGATTTTGAGGAATTCATGCAATTGCTTCATGGTAATTTCCAAGTTTATGACATTTTTCTTGAGAGAGCAAAAACAAAATATAAGAATGTAAAATTTAATACATGTGTATATAAAAAATAGTTTAAGAAATGAGGCTATTGTTAGAAACTAGATCGATAAATTAATGAAGTATAAGTAACCTAGATTGCCAGCAAGAGGTTTTTAAGAGTTCGAGTTTAAAATATGCTAGGTGAAGAAAGCTAGAGAGTAGAAGTATTGAGAATCACAAGTTACAAAAGAGTTATAAAAAATGAAGCTCTTGCCTACCAATGTACTAGATGCACTAGTGATTGACTAGTGATTAGTACTGTGGAGGTTAGGAAAAAGTTGATGTTAACACGCAAAAGTGGCACTTTGATGATATATTCCTTACATGACGCTAGTGTACTATCACAAGTGAGAAGGCAACCGGCTAACTCGCCATAACGGTAACCAATCACTTGACAGATTTGGTTATAGTTTTGGAACAGTCCAATGCTTTATAAGAATTAACCAATAAGGTGTGAGAACTACTTGTGGGTAGTGCTGCATACTATTTGGGAATTTGTAGGAACATGAAGGAAAACTCTGTTTAAAAACTCATATTTGAGGCAGAAAATCAGTCTCCTGACGAGTTTTTGCTAACTGCTCATGAACATCAGCAGTTGCTCCAAGATGATGTTGAAAGTATCCAATCTGCAAAGGTGCACCTTGCCAACTAACATCTTGTTGTAAGTAGAATTTTCAGACTCTTAAGCTTCAATCAATGTATTTACAGTTTCTTTATTCTAACTGTAAATTACCTCAAGTTAGGGACTTGTGAGCTCCACTCGCCACTGCAATCATCAACTAAATAAATTTGGTGTAATCGACAGTATAATTGAAACTCAAACAATTAGCCCTGAGGGTGCTGGCCGTTACAGTAAACAAGATAGAACATGAACAAGATTATGGATATTGAATCATATGTGCAAAGATTCCATCATAAATCATGAAATTAACATTCAAAATTAATCATGAGGGTCAAATCAAATATTTGAAATATAATTGTAAAATTTGCTACAATTATCACATAATTCTTAGGTTTCAAAGGCATTTCTCTTGGTAAAAAGTCACATAATTCTGAAAAAAGAAAAAATTACTAAGTATATTTGCTAGTTTATAAAGTGTTACAATAAGTAAATCTTAATGATTTAAAGAAAAACTTTTAAATGTAACATATCAGAATATATATATATAAATATTATATAACACACATGCTTAATTTCCAATGAACTTTTGGTTCTTAAAAAAGAATAAATGGGTTACTTCTAAACAACAATCACCAGTAAAAGTCCTATTGGTAGATATTAAAAAAGCATGAACTGACCAACAGAAGTAATGCAAAAAATGAATTGCCCTATAGAAAATATGCTGAGCTATGCTATGACTAATAATACAAACAATGTTGCGATATGTACTGACCAAAAGAAACTAGGCACAGATGAATCAGGAGGAAATAGGTTAAGTCATATGTAACAGTTATATCAAATAAAATGGTAAGCCTGATTTTTTAAAATTTGCATTTACCAGGTAAGAATTTTGCACATAAAAATAAGGAGCTCACTAATAAAATATGGTATAAGCCTCTTTTACAGACTGTTTTTAACATGTAATTCATGTAAAACTAATCACCCAATTGAATGCAATAACTCAGCATTGTTCATACATAAATATACATTAGGGTAATTAAGCTCCTCAATTTTTTCCAGGTACTTCTAGATTTTACTACCCACTGTCACTGTTCCCATGAAGAACATAAGCACTATTATCAAGCCTAACAAGGTCACCTTGGATCCCCCACACAATAATCCAGCTAAATGTCATAGTTACATCCATAAACACACTGATTCACCAAAACTTGACAGAAACAAAGCTATCATCACAAACCACACTATTAAGCAAACTATTTTACAAGTAAACAACTATAAAAGACATTCTGTATAAAAAACATGGTCTAGGCTTCCTAAACTTACAATCTTAAAAATTCAAGTCACCATTTCTAATCTAACTTTTATATAAATCATATGAACATTTTAGAGGTAGCTAATCCAAACCCAATAAAATTTAAACAAATAAATCCAATACAAAGTAATAACAACCCCCTCATTCTTCAGCACAGCACAAAGTAATAACAATCTCCTCATTCTTAAGCTCAAATTTTCTATACACAGATATCAATGCCAGTGTACTTCAACCCAATACAACCAGGTAGTCAGAAGTAATCATCTGGCTTTTCTCAAGAATCACACCAAAGATCTCTAATCTCTCTACAACACCAACACTTCTCTTACACAAGTAAATGTTATCTACCTGTTTGTACCCTTCCTATATAATTTGCATGTTTTAGTATTCAAACATAATCTTACTCATGATTTATAATTAACTAAATCTTCCAAGTTCTTCCTCAATCCAAACATTTTTGTCAGTTTGGCCAGCCTTATCCAGCAATTAAATGTTACAAGAAACTTCAATAAAATAGCAGTTTCTATTATTATTAACATATCTATATATATAAAAGATGAAGTTTGTTTATTTGTTTGCTATAGGAAACCAAATGGTTGAACTTAAAAATAACTTCATAATAACCAGTTTTGACAAGAAATTTAATGGTGCTACTTATTTTGTATTTGGTGTAGTATTTAATGATGAAATTGACAATT